GGTTCATGTACCCCCCCACCCCCCAAATGCAAAACCCTCCGGAACCCCCTGTGATCAAATATTCCATTGTATGTTGGGAACACTTTATTATGAGCAGGCGATGAGGACAAGGGGATGTTCCTTTTGACCTCTGAGACAGGGGTCTAGGTAGTTACCAATATTTTGCTGAGGTCTATGTGAGGTAGCCCATACCACAATTATGTAACAACATGGAAGCACGATGATAACCACAAGCCAGATAGGGTTTGGAATTCGCACATCCACATGGGTTGTTCTCAAAATGAGGGGCCTCCTTGGGGCGTAGATTAATTGTATTCCGGCACGTAATACTCCAGGGCAACAAAATGGGATCCTATTTTTGGGGGGAAACTCTAAACCCTAAGCTCATATGTACATGTATATATATACGCATATAAATTATACATATATATACATATACATACACATGTATATTTACATGTTCATATCTATATATATATATAGTGAACCATCTATGTGTAGGTTGTAGCTAGGAAGGCAAGTTCCAGGCCAGCCTTATGGTCAGGCGCTATCAACGTCAGGCTGCTGTTGGGGTAGGGTTTAGGGTTTAGGATTTTGGGATTGATTAGGGTTTAGGGCTTTAGGGATGAAGGTTTTAGGGTTTCAGGACTTTAGGGATTAGGGTTTTAGGGTTTAGGGATTTAGTGGTTTAGGTTTCAGGGTTTGGTAGCCCACTGTGAGGCAGTGCAATGCTCGCAGCCCTTTGTTGGCCGTCGCGAGCGCCACCCAATCGAACTAAGCATGCGGGCCTTGATGCTTACATTGCCGAAGTCGAACTCTCCACCCTAAACCCTTAACTTAACCGCTAACCGCTAAATCGGTCCGAAATAGCCTTACCAGAAGCTTGAAAGATCCCTGGTAATATTTGTCGAGCACATTGACATCTAATGGCCCTCGTGGAAAGCCCAGACAGTCTTTTCAAGGCCCCGTCCGGGCTTCCCCATGTTACTTCGGCGAAGGTTAGGGTTTAGGTTTTAGGGTTTATATAGGGCAAATAATCTGCAGCCTAAACGGCCTAAACCCTAAATGATATGTAGTAGCTTCCATTTTCTTTTTCCATTATCCCCATTTTATAACCCCATATAACAACCCTAAACCCCAAACGGATCCTTCACACCTTGGTTGAGATTCTGTGATTCTGCTTGTTGATGCTCACCTTACGGGTCTGTTCCCTGCTCACCCCACACCCCTACACCACTATATAACCACCTTTAAGGAGTTCAGACTATAGCCCATATATGTATACATACAAAACATACCCTAAATCCCTATACATATGTATGTATATAATATACCCTAAATCCGAATCCCTAAAACCCTAAACTCTAATCCCTAAACAATGAACCCTTAATCCTGAACCCTAAACCCTAAACCCATATGAGTAGCGTTTTGGTGGTTGAATCTAGGAAGATTAGAATCCTTGTATAAACTACTATACCCAAAAGGAGGATATAATCTTATGTACTCTATATTGGATACCATAATACACCCACATAAAACACTACTCATATGAGCTCTAGTCTAAACTCCTAGCATCCCCCTTAATAACCCCTATACCCTACAAGTCCAATGTGTGGGTTTAACGGCAACATAGCCGAGATGCAGGCGCAATACCGGATGTAGGCTTTTCACTGATCATGACATGATTGTATGCAAGTTCTTTTCTTCTCATCGAAACGCTTGCAGCTTCTTGCGCGTGTATGCACGCGCTCCCGATTCGCTATCATTAATTTCTCGCGCGCTGAAAAGCTTTGAGATTCAGCACACGAATCCTTTTCAACCTCCTCATAGAAACCAGACGGAAACGCGCCAGCTTGATAATGCTGCGCTCGAATTTTCGAGAATCAGCTTGCTGAGCAGCACCTGAAAAAAGCTCATGCTTGCGTAGGCAGAATTTCGGTAAACTGCAGGTTTTTCACATGTTTGCTACAAAGCAGCCTTTCAGCCACTTCATGGCATCTTCTTCTCGGAAGGTATGAAACATTCGAATATTGACGCCTCGAATTTGGCATTGAATTTGTAATCCTGCAAGTTTCAACTTGGATTGGACCCGCAAACAGACAAGTTTTGAAACCGTCGAAATTAATTAAAGTCTGGTCCGAGAGTCGGCGCCGCTTGCAATCCCGAAGTTGGTGGTGAAAGCCCTGGAGCTTTTTTAGAGAATTGCAATTTAAAAGGACTCGTCCTAAACCCCGTGCAAAAACACGAACAAGCAAAAACGTGCGCACAAGCTGATGCTGACAAAGGCACATGAATTTTGGGACGAACTTGCCACGCCAGCTTCCCCCTCCTAGCAAACAGCTCCAAGTTTGATCCTGAAAGCCGAATCTGCAAAGCCCTAGTAGTCCTCATAGAAAGCTTGCAGAGTAAGACGTGAAGTCGGAGGTATCGCATTCCACTGTTGTAGATTGAGGTCGCAGCTTCCGCAGTCCTAAGCTTAATCATGTTGATGCCTGCAGCTTCAAACATGCCAAGTTCATCATGCCTCATTGCCAAAAAGTATCAGATATCGACCATGATTCTCAACCTCCAGAAACCATTCACAAAGGGACTGCCTCAGAAGCAAGCATGTAGTCAACGAAAATACGCGCGCGAAAAACATGCTGATTCGTCAGGTTTCTTTTTTCAAGCTAAGAGACATGGCCACCGCAGTGGGCGCTAACATATCATCAGCTTCAGGCCACGAGCCATTTTCGTGGGCCCATTTTCCAATTTCCCTACCAGCCACAACAGTGCGGTGCACGACGCGTTGCATGCAATCGCCGAGCCATAACGTAATGACTCTGCCGTTGTAGCCTTTATGACCCATATGAGCACCAGAATGTTCCTTCCACACCTCAGTTGCTCCAAGAATTGCTGCTGACAACTTGCTTTTCAGAATTTCTTGGGAGAGTGTTTCTAAAACCAGCCAAGCTTCGAAATTTGGAAGAAATTTGGTTTGCGAACATCGAATCCCTGATTGCTTCTGGAATGTTTTGAAATCCTTGAACGCCACGACCAGCAATTTGTGCAGTGATAATATCTCAGGATTGCCGAAGAATCCTTTCTCTATGAGATACATCCTGGGCTCCGCGCGAGAAACACAATTTGAATCAGAATGAACAAATCTAACTAGAATTTTGTTATATAAGTCCAAGTGACAATGTAGAGCCAGTAGCATCCTGACATATGCCCAAGTTCACGTTGTGAAGCGAGCAATGACAGATCATGCTCGCGTCGAAATTCCTCAATCCCAGTAATGGACCTGCGCTAGCATTTATGATGAAGCCGCACACAACAATTCAGAATCCTAAGAAACACGCATGAAGCATCAGGACTTTACAGTACGCACTTCCTGCAACAAAGGCACATACATCATCATCAGGAATTACGAAGCTCATGAACTCGTTATGCGAGAGCTCGGTCCCCGTCCAGCTTGGGTTCTCGGATAAGTCCAGGTACGAATGCCGAGGGTTGGAGTGGTTCTCCGCGCAGCAGCGCCAGCACATGTATCTTGCCCCCCAGTAGCCCTGCTTCATCAATAGTGTTCGATACATAAATTCCCAGTCGCCTTTCAATTCAGTTACGCAGAATTTACGGGGGCAACGCCAGCCATCTGGGGACTCCCCATGAAAAGCGTAATTCAGTGATTTGACCACCGCCAAATACAGTGGGTTGTGTGATCGGGCACCCAAACTCCTGTCCGCGTGCAAAGCCCAGAGCAGCCACTGGGACATTCTCGTGCTTTTAGGTCTCCACAGGACCAGGCTCATCCAGAATCCTGTCACTTTGCTTTGATCATACCCTTGTCCAAATCGAGCAGTGTCACCATAAAGGGCCAATGGATAGTGAGTTCCATCAAATTCTTCGGATGCGGCCCATGGAAATGCTTCTTTGGCATGTTCCCAATACTTTCTCAGTACCTCGTCTTTGATACGAAGACCTGCCTCGAAGAGGAATTGTAAAATTCTATGGGGTAAAAGGACAGGAACCTCGCTCTCAATAATTTCATGCTCGTCCTCCATGCTTTTCAGCAAAGTCTTGACCATCACTGGTTTCTGTCAGGGACAAACAGATTAAGGGTCGTATCTGAATTGGTTCAGCATAATTAATGTAATTACGCGAAACCAGCTAATACTAAGAATCATGACCCGCATTGAATCGAGAATATGAATGGATATAAAAATCACTACACCTATTTTTTGAATTATGTTTCCCAAACCATGGCCAAAGGAAGCTTGACCGCCCTTTCAAAGTCCCGAGAATTGTTGTGCCCGCTGTAGGATCCAATCTTTTTCAGCTCTTTGGGCAAGTTCTTGCCGCCATCCTGAGATACGAACGCTCAAATATAGCAAGGCAGACCACGACACTGAAATTGTAGTTTCAAGCAGAGGCTCCAAAACAGTACTCCTTGCGCTCCGCATTTCTTTTCCAATTGTAGAAGTCTCAGTGAACACGTTCAGATGTTTACATGATTTTGCTTCCCCTGGGTACCTTGCGCACACTGCAGAATTCATGCTAATGAAGACAAGTCACTCCGCTAGCCACATTGTCAATCATTTCATCGAGAAGCTGCGAGTTGATACACTCGACACCTGCGAAAGGGTACGGAAAACATACCTCAAACAATTTCGGCACGCATGCCCTCGCGAAAACAAATTCCTCACCCCTTTTTTGGCACGCCCGCCGACTCACGCCCAGCGCTCTATCGCGCACAGAGTTCCCCCACCCTGCGCGCGTGACACTGCACATGCTACTCGGCAAGTTTGCCTTGGGATTTCCAAATTCTCGACCTTTATCGAGCGAAAGTGGCGTTAAGCCAAGCCTTGAAGCATCATCCCAGTCACGCGGAAGGAGAAAGTAATCAGTAGTTTAAGAGGAACGTGTAGATGCAAGCCAGCTAGTGGAAATTTAAATATCAGTATTAATTCTAGAATGCTTGTCTCGCTTCCGGGACGCGGATGTTTGCAAACCCTGTGAACCTACTTGTTCCCAGCGCCGCCCTTTGACTTCTTGATCTGAAGCGTGTGCTCAGCATCCTCGATCACGGATTTTGCATCCTGAATCTTCTCGCGGATCTGGTCGTCCTTGTTATTACATGGTAGTGCGAGAAAATTCTGTCGTACCATTGAAATTCATTATTATCTTACTATTGTCCTCGGCTGCGTCGACAGCCTGCTGCAAGTTTGTTCTGGCCGTATTCAACTTCCGTGCCAGAGTCTCGATATCCTTTCTCAAAGCATCTTGAAGGTGCTTGCTCCTCAGATGATATTTGGAATCATGCCTAGGAAACCTGGTCATGAAATATGTATTAAATATGATAACCAAGTACCCTGCAACTTTGAAACATCTTCACTTGACTTCTTGATGTTCAAGTCTTTGATCTTCTTGCTCGCCAAACTCACGATCTGCAGAAAAAACATATCGAAAAATAATAGAATAAATGTTAACACACGCTACTTACTCACAAAAAGGGATGCACAAGGAGTGGAAATGACCATGGACCTTGTTCGCTTCCTGGCTCAATTTTCTAGACTTCTCCTTGTCCTCATCTTCTGGATCATCATTCTTTGACTTCTTTGTCTTCCGCTTGTTTGTGCGGCCCTTCCCTTTCTTTTTGTTTTTCTTGTCCTTTTTTCCCTTCTTGTCTTTCTTTCCTTTCTTTTTAGTGTTGCTCTTTGCACTCTTCTTTCTCTTCTTGCCTTTCTTGCTCTCGGAGCTTGTGTCCTTGGGGGAAAGTTCTAGTGGACCTACATATTTATCTACGTTGGAAGTCTATTCGCTAACTGTCCTCCGAAGATGCCGAATCTTCGTCGCTGCTGCTAGACTCACTGCCTTGAGCGTCTTGGGCCTGAAACAAGTCTGAGATCTCGAGCCCTTCCTCTGCGGTTTCCTCGTCCTCGACTAGAACCAAGTATTGTCGGAGACCTTAGTTTCAGCTCGAACCCCTGTCCCCAAAAAAATCCCCAGCAGCATTGAAACCAATTAAGTACAGACACTCGGACATTCTGGGTGCTGACGCACCTCTTCTTCCATTAACTTGGCGTCGCTCTCCTTGCGAAAGATGATTGCGTCAACGGTGTCTGAGTCGTTGTCAAAGTACTTGAGCATAGCCTTGCGGGAGAGCCACTTGCGGCAAGCTTTTTTTCCGCTTCTCTGGCTTGATCTGATTTGCTTCATGATCAAACCTTCTTTCCAATTTCCGCACGTCTTGCAGAAGTCCTCGTACAGTGTAGACATGGCAGTTTTGCCTGAGCAGGAAAAGTGTTGACCCAGAAACATATCGAACAATATATTAATTACAATCCCAGACCAAACTCGAAGTAAGCGCATGACAGTACTTGAAGCGTTCGAAACACTTCTTGATCTCCTTGGGAGTCTCGCGGCCTGATCACAATCACGCATTTTTGTCAAGGATTCTCAGCTTAATTTTCGAAGTTTTTGCGAAAACTGAGGTATGGGCTCTGGATGTTCCTCCAAAATCGCATGTAGAGCTTGTGAGCCTTCTTTTTCTTTTCCTTTGCTTCCCCATCGCCTTCTTTCGCTTCGCCTTCTTTCGACTCGCCTTTCCCCGCCTGCCCTTCGTCTTGACGCGCCTTTTTTTTCTTTGGACTTGGATCCTGCTTCTGCTGACCGTCCGTAACAGCTGCCTTGGCCTTTCGGGGGGAACTTGTTGGCATGGGATCGCTGGAGCTCCTTGCCGTTGTGTGATCCTTCATGTTTTCATCCTCCTTTTCTTCTTCTTCCTCCTTATCCTTTGCTGGGCTTGCCTTGGACTTCCCTTTGGCCTGCGATTTCGCCTTCGCCTTACACTTTGCCTTTGCTTTTGCCTCCGCCTTTGCCTTAGCTTTACGGGCCGCCTTTGCCTTAGCTTTTGCTTGTGTCTTCTTTCCTTTACCTGCGATGGAAACCTTGGACGTGTTCTGCTCTGCCTCCGCTTCTTCTTCCCTTTGTTTTTCCTTCTCTTCTTCAAGCGCTTCTTCTAGTTCCTTCTGCTTTTGCACAGCCTCTGCCTTGCGAAGGCCTGTTGCCTTCTCATCTAAGGTCTGGGGCCGCCGCAAGATTCCTACTACCTTTTCACCACTGAAGTCATCAACCGAAGTCTTGCGATTTATACGGCTCTCAGGGGTTTTGCAAACTTGTGTATCATCCCAAGTCGCGGTGCTTCCAGCCTGCTTTGCCTTCTTGCTTGCCTGACAGGCTGTCCTGCCTGTGTTCGTGGGGCTCTCGCAACTCTTGTCTGGGCTCTCTTCCTTGGGCGGGATCGCGGTTGCATTTTCCGCTGCTGGCCGGGTGTCCTTTGCTTTTTCTCCTTGCTTGCGATCTTTCGTTGCTGCCCTTTCAGATTCAGCTTGGCTTTGAGACTTCTTGATCACTGGGGACAGGGAAGGGGTACCTGAAGATTTCTTGCCAGCTTGCGGCAACCTTAACAAAACAGCATAGGCAAAGAAGGTCAAACACACAATCCAGCAATTGAATAGCAGCACATAGACTTGATAGTATTACAGTTGAGAATTAGCTGGGGCTTTAGCTTAGCATCGGCACTTTGCTGCACTTGCAACCTTCGAGCTTTTGCTTTCTCTAGCACAGCTTTCACGTCTATCTTCATCTCGCAAAAGTGCCACCAAAAGGTGGCAGCGGCTAAACTCAAGTAGCTGTCTGGAGCCACAGTTTTATTTGCAAGCGCTGATACATGAGGAAATGACGAGCATGCAACCCTCACAAGACAGCAAATGCAAAGCTTGATTTCGAATTGGTTTTGCGGCGTTTTAAGGACTATTTTATTCACGGTGTTTTGGGTACAAATCACGGTTTTTTGCCTACAAATCACGGGGTTTTCACGGGGGTTTCACGGGGGTTTCACGGGTGTGTTTTTTTCCGCAAAACCTCACGAAAATAAGATTGCCTTTGATTTTCTGTTTGCGCCCCACGCAAGAACTCTTGACAGCACCAACCCCTCATTCAAGTGGCAGGCACTATACAGCTTGGGCACATTCCCAAGAAGAGCAGCAGGACTCAATCGGACCTGCTGTCCAAACTAAAAGCTGGCTTGTACCTTCCTGCAGAAGCTTCCTCACGAAGGAAGGCTAGAATTTCATCTAAGCCCGCGTACTTCCAGCACGGCCATGGTTTCCCGACTGTTTCTGGCACCTTGCAGGAAAACATAATTTATTTCCAATAGACAAACATTATGATCCAAAACGGCCTCCGCAAACTTCTCCACCGCTTTCATCAGACCCTCGCCCTCCTCCGCCTAGGTATTTTGCGAGCAGTAGCAAACAAGCCAGGACACAACATTACCTAAGATGAAGAATCAACTTGCTGGGCTGCGAACCATCAAGTACATGTGATGCCCAGAAACACGGCGCCCAAACTCCACAGGATAGGTTTGCGTCTGTTTTAGGCGAGGCCCGCCCTGCCTCAGCGAAAGAGACAGCAGAGACAAAAACATAAATCTAGAGAGATTAGCAGCTGAGCTTCGCACACATTTACTTTTCCTGTTTTCTTGTCGATGCTTTTTTTCGTCACCCCTTTGGAACTGAGTTTCAATTCCTTGCGCTTCTGTTTTGTCAGCTTTTCGTAGAGCTTGCGAAGCCTTAATTAAACAAAATCTCAGCGTGAAAGGTTGCGCACAAGCAGCGTGCAATAGAAAACTGAGCCAGCAGGCCAAGGAGGTGAGCCGATCAGTATCGTAGGTTTGCAGGACATATGCCCAAATGACGCCATCCAACTCAGCAGGACATATTATATGTACTGGAAGAGTTGTGCAACCAACAGTGTATCAAGACTGGTACATTATTATGGTATTAAAGAATATTTAGCATAATATTATATAATTACACAATCTTACATGCTCTCAGATCAACCAGATTGGGGTAGTAATTAATAAGCAGGCTACAGCACACATATGTTATATATTATGGTATCCACTTATTTTATCATATTATGTTAGCCCACACAAATCCTAATGTTATTTCAAAGGCTTGCCTTTCCAATCTGGCCCTAAGCTTAATTAATATTCACGAAAGAATTAGAAGCCGTAAGCCCCAGGCAACCTCACCATTTGGATAGGAAGATGTTGGGCCAGCGATGTTTGCATCCATTGAACAAGAGGCACATAAGGAAATAGCGACGAGCCTGGTTGCTCAATGAAGAAATGCACTCCCCGCATGAAAGCGAGGAGGCATAAAAGAAGTGTTCGTGTTGTCAACCTCAGCTATGCAGTACTGCCGCTACATGAAGCTGCGACTAGTATCCATATCACACACAAAACTTTAAAAGCAGCTGAAAATAGGCAAGGCTCATATTCGCTTGCTTTATGTAACGATGGCGAAGGGTTCCCCAGATCCGCGCTTTAGAGCGACCACTCGTTTTGCGGTTTAGAAACACCCAGCTTGAGCAGGGTAAACCTGCTGCTAGCAATGCTCCCCGCTTCAGCCTGAGCACCTTCAATGTTGCGCGGACCATACCATGCCTGAGTGATTCGAAAACCAGCAAAAATGACGAAACAACATTCCCGCCGAAAACAACTTGTACTCAGCTTCCAGCGTGGTCAACAGGTCGTCATCCGGACGTGCTTGCACTTCAAAATAGTCCCTCGAGTATCAAAAAATACGATATTGATTAATCTCAATATCTGGGAAAAATAGGCCCCCAGCGACTTCAGCCCACGGGCACCTCGGTATGTGGAAACAACAAATTAATTACAAGAACTTTATGTTGCGTAGCAAAAAGCTCAGGTCCGTACTGAAGCCCAGCTCCACACTACGCTGTCCCGCGAACAAGTCCAAGCAATAGAGGTCCTGGGCCAGCCACATTGCCCCACCCGCCCCATTCTTCTAAAGGTCTGTGTGAACCGCAGGCAGGGCATATTCATATGCGAATGTAAGAGAATGCACATGAATTATCTTAGATAGTGTCAGAATACATATTATATTTTTTATAATATTGTATTATATTTTCGTTTTATACGAAACGCAAGTAGGACCACGACTCGCAACGTGTTGGCACCTTCAGCATTTTGAGCGACATAGTCCGCCAGGTGCAACCTAGCATCACAGGTCGGGGGCTGACAAGTAATCGCAGGATGGGGGTGTCAAAACATTTTCACAGGTTCGCGATATTAAAGCCACGCGGCATTGTTGTCGCTATCCCAACCTTTACCAAGGCATCCATGGTAATGGCAGACATGGCAATGTCTTTCAGCAACCACAGGCCAGTCATGGCGCACAAACGGGAAGCCGAGCACTAAGTCAGAAAGAGTCGCACCACAGCATGTGTCTCCTGTGACAGCCCAATATTATGACAAATTACTTCATGAAGTTTGTTCGCAACAACCCCTTTCAATAAAACAACGTGCCTGCAAACAAACATGCCGGGAAATCTGATGTCTTGCACAATGGGGAAATTTGCACAACCGAGCGCAGACTACAAGTGCATCCACACTTCTTTCAACGCAAGGGGTCCGGAAGTTCGGGTGTAGCTGCGAACCAAAACTGGGCTAACTATCTTTCGACCTGGTTGCTCAGGCCTTTGCAGCTGCATTAGAAACTGCCTCAGGCAATCTTTCCCAACCTGCAGCATAAACTGCGTAGGCCCACCTCAACCAGAATGCAATACGATCAGAAACAAAAGGTTTCAGCACTGCACCTACCAAGCCCCCAGCGCGTCCACAACCGTCTCAAACTTCGACCAGCCGACCGTCAATCCGCCATTCTTGTTAACCTTTCCAGAGAGCAGCCAGAACAGCATCATTTAACAAATTATTTCGGGAACATGCTCTTGTGATTTTCAATTTCTTCGCAAACTGAGGGCATAACTTTGATTTTCTCACCCAGCTGGCAAAACTTGTTCACTTTCTTCACCAACTTCTCATCTGCCGGGCTGACGTAAAACTGTCTCGGGCCTAACCTGGGCAGGGTACAGGGTGATTTCGGGAAACTGATGTGCCCTTTTGTGCTGAACTCTATCAACCATTAAGTCGCAGGCAGAACGCCGATGGTAGCAGAGCAGCCCATGTGATCGTAGCTCAGGGTGTAACTCCTGCCGCGTGGAAAGGTTTTCGGGTTGGGGCGGATTAAAACATATTGTTCTGGGACTCCGACTTTTTCTCACCACGCGTAACCTTGTCAGACACCACCATTCGGGCATCCCTGTCAGCGACATCCAGCAGGAGGTCAATCGCTTCGGCAATTTCCTTCCAGGTAAACATTATCATTAGCTCTAGATCTACAGAAACTAATGGTCTTTGTAGGTGGGATAATTTGCATCTATGCTAAAAGAAAAGTAAAGGACAGGTCCTGCGAAATCAACTGTGTTGCAACCTCGGTCTTTCCTTCTTTTTTATTCTTCTCTTTGTCTTCTGATTCCTTCTGGATTCCCTCGGGCGCTGCGTCTGCCTCGGGCACTGGGGGGATTTCTGGGCTGTTTTCCTGCTCATCTTCAAGTTCATCCTGTTCTTCTCCTTTGCTTGCATCCAAAGCCTTTTGCTGCACTAGTGCCTTTTTCTTTTTGCTCTCACCTTCGCCTTCGTTTGCTGCAGCTGGCCTTTTCAAAACCTTGTCATCACCCCGACCACGGCCGCCCCTTCCACGTCCTCTTCCCCGCCCCCGGCCTCTTGAACCACTGGGAGCCTCATCTTGACCTTCTTCCGGGGCCAGCTGCTCCCGCAAAGCAGCAGCGCCTGAATTGCAAGGGCAGCATCATCATCCTTGGTCTCCTGCAGCATGCGCTTTGCCTCTTTCTTTATTTCTTCAGGAAGCTGGGGAGCTTTCTTGCATAGCGGCTTTTCATCCTGAAGGTAAAGCAGGCAACCCACAGATTAGATGCACCTCTTACGGAATATCTTGGGGAACATTAGGAGTGGATGTGTTTGAATCGAAAAATCACAAAAATGAAAGCCGTCCTTGAAGGTTCCCTTCCCCTCTTCCTCGCTACATACTTCCTCCTCCTCAGGCTCATCCTGAAGGCAAGGATCCTCTTCAGGATCTTCTTCCTCATTCTGCTCCTGAAAAGAAAAAATGTGTTTGGTGCTTTGCAATATGAAATTTTACCTTACCTATGCAGGAGCGAGTTTACGTTGGTTAGATGGCATGCCCCAGACAATACACTGCGAATATCAAATGAACTGCTGCACATGCTTGACTTGAACATGCACGCTTGAAAATGCCGGACAGGCCTGGGACCCATCCTCTGCATCCTCCTGTCCATTCAGGAACACCGTTTAGATTAGTTGGTCCTCATTTAGCTAAAACACACGCACACACACACTGCCTCCGGAAGCATCTCAGCATCGCTGACCGCGAACTCGCAAGAATTCAATGGATCAACCTGCCGATGAAAGGAAACACTAGAACGAAACATTAACAGGTGGCGCAAACATGTCCTAACAAAAGGCCTCCTTGGCAGAACGAATGGCTTCCTTCAGGCCCAACATCTGGTCCGCAAACTCCTTGGACCTGGCCATATGAAGCAAGCAAATCATGGGGGGAAATGAATTGAAATTCAGCCACAGGTTGGGAGGCCTCACTCCCTTGGCTCTGGATGATCTCTCGATTGCCCAGGAAACAAACGCTCTCTGAATCGCAGCCTCTTCTTCCATCCACGCCTGCGTAGAAACATCTACTACAGAAAAATAATCCAGCGCAAAGACTAGGGTAAACCTGCCTGAATCTCAACTTTATCCACATTCGGATGGAGTCGGTACGTCTGGTTGGCCCACTTCAAAGCTTCCTGCGATTAGCATTCTACAACTTTGCAAGAAAATACAAGCAAGATAAGGAATCCCAAATCTGCCTGAACCTCCTTCTTGGTGGGCAGCTTGTGCACAAAAGTCACCGCATAGTTCAGCACAAACTCGTAGTTGGGTAGGGCGCAGACCTGTGCGAAAAGAATAAAGTCTTCAACGCTTGCAAGAAAATGAATGAATGTGCTTAGCCTGCTCCTCCGTAACCTCCTTGTCCTTCACATCCAGAAACGAGAACATCACTTCCTGAACAAATTCGGGGACCAACGAATACTTTGCGAATATTCTATTGCAACTTGCGCCTTGTGCTTGCCAGCTTTCTTTCTCAGAGCGGCGAACCTGTCATTGATGTACGAAATCTTGAGGATGTCCTTGTAGAGCTCCTTGCGAATTTGGGGATTGAAGCAACTGAAAAAATCAATAGATATGCCGGTCCTTCAGCAGAGCCACTTGGGCTGGATTCGGTTTGGAATCTGGCATCCCTAGAAGCTAATATCAAGATTTGCGAATCCTTCTTTCTGCTTTGTAATGCTGTGCATGTGCCTAGATGGCTTGTGCCTTATCGTGTTGGTGCTAAAAGCTTTGACAGCAAGCTTGGAGCCGCATGATTCATCAGCTGCTGGAGGTCAAGGCAACGGACTAAGAAAGAACGCTCCAGCAGTTGCAGGCAAGGAAAGGCACCTGAGGAGATATCGTAGGAGTCGCAGGATTCCAGACCTTAACAGAAAGGCTTGAAACTCATTTTCGGCACCTACCCCCACATTCGAAGATCTGAGATTTCGACGCTTCAGGAAAGCTTTTTGGGCGTTCACCGGCATGATGCAGACCTAAGACGATTTCATCATTTTTTAGAAGTTTACCAAGATTTCGGGCCAGAGTCTGGGGCGCAAACCACAAGCGCCAGAAGAAATGTAGTTGGAGCCATTGGCGTAAACAAAAGTAGATTTAGTAGACGGCTATGCATGGGGCATACTTTTGTTGAAAGATCTTGTCTTGCCCATTTGCTTCCACGTACTTTTTTGAGTTGCGGGGATAGAAACGTAGGGTGGGGTAGGGTTTGGAAAATAGGGCTACGTTTGCAGCCTCGCAGCTGCGGAGCTCGGCAAGCAGGAGGCCTGCAATTGCAAGACTTTCTACTAATCAATAACGTATAGGTTTAACAGATACATTAGCAATGCCCCAGTTTAACGACAACAAAGACCAGCAGGGTATAGTAGTCCCTTATATAATCCCCATATAACCCAATTTAAGGAGTTTAGACTATAGCTCATATAATATAATGTGTAAGGAGATGAGGTTCCTATGCTTCAGGGCCGCCGCACCTAGACCTAGACCTAGACTTAATCTGAGAGTGCCACACTCCTCGTCCGTTGGCGCCGAAAAAGATCTCCTGTTTAGGGTTTAGAATTTAGGGTTTCAGGGGTTTAGGGGTTTAGGGGTTATAGTTTAGGGTTTAGGGCTTAATTTCCTGTTTGGGTTTAGAGTTTAGGGTTTAGGGGTTTAGGGGTTTATGGTTTAGGGTGTAGTTTGTAGGGGAGCCTATAGGGTGCGGAATCTAGGGCTTTGGGGTTCAAAAGGATTGTATGGGTCGTATATGAGAAGTGCATTACAAGGTATTGGGGTTTAGGGGTGTACCCTCCTCCAGGGTAAGATGGAAGCCGAAGAACAGCCATACGCAGACTACTGTCCTTTTGGAGACATGCATGGCAGAAATGTTGCAAAATTCCTCCTTGCGCAAGTTTGGAACATCTTGATTTCACGCTGGCGCACCCAGGTATGTGCAAAAAATCTTGGGGCTTGGAACACTTTACGGTTTAGGGTTAACCCAGTTTAGCATCTTCCAACGCAGGGGGCTACAAGGGGAGCGTAGGGCTTGTGTAGGCTAGTATTGGGCGTGTATGGTACTTGGCAGTCGCGCAAACTAACATGGAGCTCCAAAACGGGACTTGTAAAGACGTTTACTGTGCTGGTAGAGAGCCGTATTCAAAATTCCATGCTGCCAAAAACCCTACATCCAGGGTTGTATCCTTAAGGTCGTGCCCCGCAAGGGCCACCCAAATATTAACGGGACGTTAATAGGGACCCCAAAGCAAGGAACCCCAAAAATGTAGCACGTATATAATAGGAACATACCTATCAGGGTCCTCATTTCTTACTCTATTCTTGGTGTTCCCTGTTTTGGGGTTCCCATTAAAGTCCCTTCAAACATGACTCCAAAATCCTATTCCTTATATAGGCCAATGTAGTTCCTCAGGGTTCCTTGATGGATGTAAAATGTGAGATGCGCAACCCGAAAAGCCATGATCTTAGAGGTAGAGGGACATAGGTCTTAGACGTGAACGTTTTGGGCGAAACGCTACTCTGCATAGGCTGAATATCCAGATGCGCAGCCCGACTCCGCAAACCCAAGTCCTGACACCCTACTCCCCAAACCTAAGACCTATCAACCCTATATTATGTAACCATATGTATAGATGTGTGTATATCTACATATATGTATAGCTCCTTATACATCCCTAGACCACACAGCCGCGAGTTTTTCTGGCCTCCAGGGAGAATTCGCCAAATGAGGGCGAGGCAGAATCTGAGCCTCTTCTACGTTGTAACCCAGACCCCATGTAGACCCAGCGGGATAGGGGTTAGGATATTCTTGGGATATATAAGGTTTAGGGTAGACCCCTGATTAATAAACCCCCTCCCCTGAATAGGGATTATAGTAGGGATCCTAATATTTAGGCCCTAAAAAGGAGAAGGGTTTATTAATCACGGGTCTACATTTGGTTATTCTCAAACTTCTGGGCCCATTGTGGTTGCAAATTGTAGGACAGCACCTAGTATCTAGGTGTACCAAAATGGGACACTCATTTTTAGAGCTACCCAAGTAAGGATTTCTCAAAACAGGGGGGCAAATAGGGATCCAGGGGATATGGGGAGCATAAAGAGGCTGCAGGGGTCCCTATGGGGGGATACGAAGTGATGATTTATGAGTCATAGTCTAAACTCCTAGTATCTCCCCTAGTAACCCTGATGTAGTCCCCTATATCCCCTCGTATAAATCCCGTTTGAGGAGCTTAGGCTATAGCTCATATCAAGAGGATCGCCCTTTGTGAGGCTAACTTGTGTAAAAATCGTCCCATCTCTTCCGATGGTGGCTTCGCAAGACACAGGCTCCGTCTTCGGAGCAATAGGGATTGTTGTATTTGGGGGCTATGAAAGGTGTGCTAATTGGAGAGCTGATGTACAGATACCGATCAGCATTTAGATTTTAGTGTTTAGAGCTTGGGTGTGCGCGCCTGGGATAGGTCACTATGAACATCGCGCTGAGCCATGTGGATCATCATGCCTTTGCGCGAACTTGCTCTGGATGAGCTGCAAGCAACAATCGGTCGCCCAGACATCCCAAAGCATTTGTGCCTACATAGCAAGATGCGCCAAGAAAAGGCCCCTCATGCTGGGTTGCTGTTCAGGAACTTAAGTTAAGCTACCATACTATGGGTATATAATACTTCCTAAGTACCGTAACTTGATCTAAAGTCAATATGGGGTCAATATGGGTATATTATAGATAATGGGGTCTCCTCATTATTGTAGTAACTGAAAGTTAGTTCTTTAACGTTAACAGCAACCAAGGATGTTGCGGCCTCAAGCTCCACA